TGGAGGCCTTGAAATGTTAGCTTTGAGATTTATGCATGCTTCTCTACTTCATACTACCCTGTTCATATAAAACACATGCTGAGGGAGGGTTGTTTTAGCCATTGAATGCTCGATTTTGCCTTGTTTTTCCTCTGCCCGAGAGGTGGCTTTGGGTTTTGACTTTTACTGGCCTTAGCTCCTACTCGTAAGACCTATTGGGGATGACTTAATTTAATCTAGTCCGTCTTGTTGGGCTTGAAAGATTTGGATGATTATTGATGGATCAAATCTGTTATTCCAAAATGAGGGTTATATATTATACTCTCTTATGTATATCAAATATCTTTATTTAATTGAGTAGGGTTGTCTCAGCCGTGAGCCTTCCTTATGCCTTGGGTTGCCTTGGCTGTGAGCCTCTTTTGGCCCTTGTTTCTTAGCCCTACCCGTGATCGTGTCGGTGGGTCATTTGGATTTGTTTGGTCCTTCCCGCTGGACTTGATTAGCTTGATTTTTGTGGATGAATCAAGTTTGTCATCCAAAATTTTATAACCGTTTTATTCATTTCCCTATGTATATCGAAGGGGTACGGTAAAATAGCTAGGGGAGGCCCCTTTGATTTTCTTAGCCGTGAGTCTTACTTGTTGTTCCTTGGGTTGTCTTTGGTCGTGGGCTTTAGCAGCTGCCCCTTTGTTGCCCTGAGCCGTGAGTCTTAATAGTTGCCTCCTTTGTGGCTTGCTTTGGCCGAGAACCTTTTCTGGTTTTTTTCTATTTGTTGAAGCCCGGTCGTGAGCTTCTATGTGGTTTTAGCCGAAGGATTTCATGCTTATTTGATACGAGGAGATTTTCATTAAGCTGAAATTGAATAGCTTTAATGTTGGCATGATTTTTGGAAGTATGAGTGGTCGTCGTCCCAGGGTTATTCTTCTTTTATTTAAATTGTGAAGTTTGGGAGATTTCCGAATTTTATTTCAGGAGAATACTTGGTTGAGACGACTTGATTTCATAAAAAATATCTTTGGGGTTTGGATACCGGCGTTTGGAGGTTATTTTGACTCGGGTTAAGCCATTTATAAAAATATGAGAAAGTGATATCCTTTCGGATTGATTCAAGGATCTTCGGGTCTTCTTTTTTAGGTCTTTTTCGTCATGAGTTTTGAGAACTGATTCATCCTCCGTTCTTTTTTATGTTTTAGGTGGATCTGTCCCCTCTCTCTCTCACCCCATTTTTGTTCTTTTTTTCCTTGCTTGGTTTGGTTTTTTATGCTTATGTCTGATACATAAGTGTTCGCGTATAGTCTTTTGCTATACGTGAAACCATCAAACAAGGTCGCAAGTAGGTCCGTTTTTTTTGGGGCTTAGGGCGGTGATGACAAAAGAACACAGGAGATAGAGCAGAATGATATGTCATCCTACGACATCGGGATCCGATTCAGGAACCCATCAGGATCCGATTTAGGAACCCGGTGAGCTGTAGGATGACAGTATCATTCACCAACACAAGACTAGCGGGAGTTGACCCGTCTTAGGTTGTTGGCGGTCCTACGCCCGACAGCGTAATCAACTCGTTTGGACAACTACTTTTCAAAATTTATAAAAACAAATTTGATAGGAACAAATACATTTTTTTCTAAAACAAAAATACATTTTTCGCTACAAATAAAATTGATACAACCCACTTTTTGCATGTTTGAAATCTATGTGCATGCTGAAAATATAAATTTTAAATACATTTTAAACATCGGTTGTTCACCTGTTTAGCTAAGGAGTACCCTACTGAGTTAGTTTCGATATGACACCCTTTTAGTTGAGTGACAAACTTTATATATCCGGGTGACCGAGTAGCCTTCGACGACCCTCGAGTACTGATATATAGTTGAGCCTAGCCCCAACCCGAGTGTTTGCGGTCCCCCTCTTTTCAAATTTTTTCATATGTTTTTCTTGGAATTTTTGGACAAAGCACTCATGATCTCTTTTCAGGATTTTCCTGTGTTTTCTACGATTTTAATCGATTTGTCGATTCGTCGATTTCCTCGCAGTTCTCTTATCGTGAGTCTTTTGACGATCTTTCTCGAGATTTCTGGACGATGTTTTTTTGTTTTCGTTTATATAAAGCATTTCAGTCTGTTTCCTCAAGTTTTGTTGCTTGTACCTGTTGCATCAATTACACCTAAGGAACAGGGGACCTCCTAGGTATACAAGTTTGTTTTATGTTTACAGTATGTTACTTTCTTGCAAATCACCCACCTGCTGTATTTTTTTTACTTTTCCCTTACCCCGCATGTTGTACTGTTCTCTTACTGCATACTCTATTGCTTGTCATGTGCTACATATTCTACTGTTATGCTATACACTATACAACTTCACATGTTTTCTATAAAATATCTGAAAAACTACAACCATAGGGCCGTTGGATTTGACATTATAATCAGACACCATAGAAAACTTAAACTCGTCACGACAAGGAGGTTGGAATTAGTGCGGTGGGCAGCACGACCATCTTCAACCGCAGAACATGTCTTCCCCAGCTAAACCGTTCTTTTCATAGAAATTAAAACAACAATTTATAGGATTTCGAGGTTGTTCGCCTAACACAACATAAATCCTCAACATTTTTTTTTAGACATTTGTATAGTTCTGTTGTACGATCTAAGCTCTAACTCGTTTTAGGATTCTGAGGTTGTCGTTCGTTACGACCTAAATCCTCACATCTTCCAGGCTATTTGTGTGATCGTTTCACGCAAATGTAAGCTCTAAATAGATAAAATTGGCAGAATAAAACACTTGAATATTTCTCCTCGAAACTGAAGCCAAACCATATGGTAGACTGGGAAGTCACTGAGGTTCTCCTCTGGAGCTGTGGCATCCCTTAGTTCTTCTTCCTTTGGATTCTGAAATAAATGTTCTAAATTTGAGTCATTTCTCTTTCGCACATCTTTGTCCGATTTTGTTGATAAGTCCCATCATTTTGAAGTCCTTGAAGATAATTTTTTCTGATTTTTATCGAGAGTATTCTTAAGTGACTTCGGTCATTTAAGATGTAATTAACTATAGGGGTTTGTCCTTATAGGAAGCTTTTCCGAATCCAGCTTAAAATAAACCCTATTTAATTTTTCATATTGAATAGAGGAATTTGTCGGCAAATAAAACAGTTTCGCAGACCAAACGAACGTCATATATTTCTTAATTTATTTGATCGAGTCTCATCCTCAAGTTTGGTGTTTATCCCTCGGGATAGATACAAGGTTTGATGTAGAGTGCTCTTTCATTTAAACTGTGAAAATTATGGGGTCAGTTTGATTTCATATTTTTCTAAACTTAAATCTAATGTAAATTAAAACGTCCTTCCGAAGCGGGCGACGGGATTTCGATTCCGGCGACCGACAGCTTTTTACGGGCGACTCACCACGCCCCAACTTTTTATCGCCGACACAATGCGATCCAAATTTTTGCATTTCTTGTTATTGAACGGAAAAACTGCTATTGAATAAAGCAATTCTTGTTATCAGACCTCCAGAGTGGAATTTAATGATTGAAAAATATACAAGGAAAGAGAGCAAATAACACTTCTGATGATGGTGATTTGACCCCCCATGGATGGGAAGTGAAATTCCGAACTAGCTATCTTGTTCTTAATATTAACAATAATCTCATTGAATAAAAAGGACTTCTTACCTTTATAAATAGGAACCCCCAGGTAGTCAAGTATTGAACGGAAAAACTGTGTCTCTTTTTGGCTCAGATGCTTGGAAGGTAAAACTTTACATGAATAAAGCAATTCTTGTTATTATTTATATATAGACCGCCAACACTTTCAAATTTCTAGAGAAAGTTTCTTAATAATGTTGATCGATTTTATTGAATCATTACAAAAGATAATAAAATCATCGACAAAATTTAAATGAGTGACCACAAGACTACATTTAGTTTCATAGTTACAAATCCGATAGTCATAGAACAATTTATTTATTCCTCTAGAGAGATTCAACCGCCATAAGAAATAAAGTAGGCGGCAAAAGATTGCATTGACTTGAACTTTTAACCAATTTTAAAAAAAACCACACGGCTTGCCATTGATAATAATAGAGAGCCAACAGCTATTGATTAGGTTATTAAACTACAACTACATGTATACTTACTTTAAACCAAAGCTTGCTCAACCATTTGAATGCATGCAAGATAAGCCATCATATAATGAAGGTATGGACTTTAACCTTCAAACTCTAAGCCATTTTGATATCTATCTTCCCATTGCTCTCAGGAAGGAAACACAAAAACACACCTATATTTGAGGTAAATAATATCAAATTTCATACTGAAGAAATGAGAGCCCTAGAAGGAAACTAAACTTGGGAGGAGGTGGAATGATCAAAATGAAGGATGTTAATTGAATGCATGTGGTATTCACTATCAAATGCAATGCAAATGTACCATTTTAGAATCACAAAGTTAGAATCATTGCAAAATACTATATTCGGACTTACAAATGCTATTTCGATAGTTTTGATCATGGATTCAGAAATAACCATGCATGCAAGTTCAAAAAGTAATCCCAAAGCGCATGATTTGAGGGTTTCACCAAAGCCATATAGAAATAATGAACTACAAAAGTAGTCTCAAAAACCATGCTCTGTTTGCTCTTTTACATTTATACCACATAAATCTTTGATATCACATCAAAAATATCACTTTTTTAACTTTTAAAACGTGAAATACAGCTTTTCATGCCTACGTAAGGCGGTATACATGTAAAAATTGAAGTTTAGGTGTTATATATGTAAATTCATAGGAATTGAGTGGTATATGTATGTAAAAATCTTCCTTAACCCATAGACTTTATGATTTTCAAAAGGCTGCTGAAATATTTATTTACGCAGGTTATGTAGGCATGCTTGTTCCTTTAAGTTGCATTTGTGAATATTTATAAAGATAATTTGGTTCATTTTCAGTAAACATAAACTTGATTATGGATCTATTACTGATGATTTTGAAAAATCAATGTAACATTATGATCCTTTTTCCAGCTGATTCTGATGGTCCGTGAAAGTTGGTCTGCAAGGTTTGGCTGCTGCACTGATTTGCTGGAAGTCAAAATTTTTGTTCACTTTCTTTTTATGCTGCATTTACATTCATACCACATAATTCTTATATATTTACACATCTAACACCTAAACTTTCATATTTGCATATAACCTCTATTATGTACGCAGCGCTTCGTACGTCTTACGTACATTTTTCTCCAGCTAAGGACCAAATTTCTCTTCTAGCATATGTTTTTTTTTTTTTTTTTTTTTTTTTTTTTTATTTTTTTTTTTTTTAATTTTCTATAAAACCTTTAAAATTTGGTAAAATAAGCTATATGACAAATGCATTTAACTATTTTTTTTTCTCCCCTCATAATTTTAAGGAAGATTTACAAACTTACCACTCAATTCCTATGTATTTGCATATTTACCACCTAAACTTCAATTTTACATACATATCACCTTATCTATGCATGAGATGATGTATTTCACTTTTTAATAATTAATATGATGTTATTTTTGTAAATATATAAACTGAAAGTGTGGATGTGGTATATATAAATACATAAAATTTGGGCGGTATGTATGTAAATGCCCCTAATTTTAAATTAGGGCTGTCAAAACGGCTCGTTGTTCGCGAACAGCTCATGTTCGGCTTGTTCGCCAGGTTAATGCGCCGAACACGAACAAATGATTGTTTGTTCGTGTTCGACTTGTTTTGGATCGAAATACTGCTAAAACATATATATATATATATTTATTGACGAGGAATATTTTAAAAAAAATTAATTGTCTATAAGGCTACATAGATTTATAATCAATTAAAATTATTAATTAAGAAAATAAAATAAAAACTATTAAATTAGATTCAAATGATGTTTTAATATAAACAATAATTTTTAAATCTTGTCAAATAATAATTTTTAAATCGTGCCCCCAATCCTTAACATTTTATGGCTACGTGATTATGGTTGTCAAAACGATTCTTTGTTCGTGAACGACTCATATTTGGCTCGTTAAGCAAACGGGCCGAACACGAATACATTTTTTGAGCTCGAAATATAAACTAGCCGAACACGAGCTGAGCCTAGGTTCGCTCGTGGCTTGTGTTCGACTTGTTTGCACCCCTATTTTAAATATAATTAAAATGTAATCTAATTTCATATTAAAAGTTTAGCCAAACTGTACATAAAAAATAATTAAACAATAATAAACTCGTCCCAGGGCTATGCGATGTGACCTCCCAGCTGCTGGGAATCTGAGCTGGTGCGGATGTTGACTGCCTGATGAATCCTTATCACAACATTTAGGAAAAAATATTACCTCAGGAGTACTGATGCATCAGTGTTCCAATGATAGGGCGCCACGTGGCGCCACGATAGGATCATTGCATACGTGGCACCTCACCATTGGAGTACTAATGCAACAGTACTTCTGAGGTAATATTTTTTCCTAAATTAGGCCCTCTTGTCCCGCTTTGCTAAACTAGTGTGGGTCCTCTCACCAACCGTACATCCAATTTGGTGTAAAATTATGAGTTAAAATTTTGTCTTTGGTCAGATCAAAAGTCCTAATGCCCTGAACCTACCCCTGTTAGTATTTTATTCTCACCTCCAAGTGAGCATAACTTGATTGTCTTTAGCAATTGGATGGAAAATTAGCGACCGACGATCAGGAAAAAAATTTGTGTACATATTACGTACGCATCGCTGCGTATATAATGAAAGTTATATGAGTGTTATATCAGTATTATATTCACGTTATATTTTTTGTAATTTTCATGTAACTTCTATATAACTTGCATGCAACCTACCTGAACTTACAAATAAGTTCCGCGCTTCTATTTTCACATATATGTAGTTTACATGTAGGTTACATACAAGTTATATGGAAGTTAAAAGAGATATAACACGAATATAATTTAGATATAATGCTCATATAAACTCTATTATGCACGCAACGCTTCTTATGTCTTACCTATGCACTTTTTTGCCGGCTACTAGCGGCTGTGGCTCTGTGGCTCAACCGACAACCGACGCATAACCAGGACTTAATTATATAGATGAGCCGAATAAGATTTGAGGTTGTTTCTGATTTATCCCCCAATTTAATTTCGTGATGAAAGAGCAAATCTGTCATCTTTGACAATTACGGACCCAACTCAAAGTCAAAAAGTTGTTCCTCCCCTTCTTTTAACTGCCCCACCTACATCCCGAAATCACGATCTTTCCTTTGCTCACTCCCTCCCTCCCTCTTCTCCATTCTCTTGCCCTTCATGCATTAGCCCCGAAACCAAACCAAAGATCAAGTTTTTGAGGAAGCCATGAGAACAGTAACAGACACCATTCTCCTCCTCCTCCTCCTCCTCCTCCCCACTTCCATCCTCTCATCAATCTCTCCATTCTCCTGTGATGCTTCCAATCCTTCCACAAAAGATTACCCATTTTGTAACGTGAACTTGCCTACAGAGCGGAGGGTTGATGATCTCATCGCCCGCCTTACCCTTGCGGAAAAGATCTCCCAGCTCGTCGACAGAGCTCCTCCCATTCCCCGCCTTGGCTTGCCGGGCTACAAGTGGTGGTCCGAAGCTCTTCATGGCATCTCTGATGCAGGGCGAGGCATCCACTACAACGGCTCAATTTCGTCCGGCACCAGCTTCCCTCAAGTCATTCTTACTGCGGCTTCATTTAACCCCTTGCTTTGGTACCGAATCGGTGAGGTAAATCTTTTCATTACAGCTGAATCAATTTTTTGCTACCGCCAAGTATATGTTTTACAAATTTTCATTCATTTTGGAATGTTCTTTAAAGGCTATTGGAACCGAAGCTCGAGCGTTGTACAATGCCGGGCAGGCAGAAGGGCTAACATTTTGGGCACCGAACATTAATATTTTCAGAGATCCGAGATGGGGCAGAGGCCAAGAAACTCCAGGGGAGGACCCATTAATGGCGAGCAAGTATGCTGTCTCCTATGTCAGAGGAGTGCAGGGTTATTCTTACGGAGGAGAAGGTGGAGCAGGGCTCAAGGCTTCAGCTTGCTGCAAGCATTTTACTGCTTATGATCTCGACCGTTGGAACGGAGTTCTTCGGTACTCATTCAATGCAAAGGTAACTACCAAACCTTTTATTTTTTTTACCTTGAGTTTTTATTTTTCAATTAAGGAAAAGAGCTGTTTGTGGCTACAGATTTCAGTTCAGGATCTGGAGGATACTTATCAGCCTCCTTTCAAGAGCTGTGTGGAACAAGGTCATGCCTCTGGAATCATGTGCTCATATAATCAAGTTAATGGCGTTCCAACCTGTGCCGATTACAATCTTCTAACAAAAACAGCAAGAGGATTGTGGGGTTTTAATGGGTGAGATGCTAAAAACAGCTGTGGTTGTTGCCTTCATGCTTTATTTAGACCTTAAATCTATGGGTCTGTTTAACATCACCATATTTCAGTATAGATGATCATTTATAAAGTAGAATTTCCTCAAATAAGGCCACACGCATAAAAACAAGTTAAGTTGCAACCATTTATTATAATCATGGCTTCCTTATAAGCCACCCTCTAATAGTTGTGCGTTACATCATAACCTTGTTTACTTAAGTAGAACTGAGAGGTTCGGTTGTTTTACATGAACAATTTACTTCAGCCAAAGTGCCTTTTTTCAGTAAAAATGTAAAATATAGAAAAATCATGTATCAACAACTATTTTGTCTTTTGTTTATTCACAGTTACATCACTTCGGATTGCGATGCTGTCTCGGTCATTTACACGAGCCAGAAATATACCAAGACCCCAGAAGATGCAGTAGCTATCACGCTGAAAGCTGGTAAACAATGCAAACATTAAGACGAACATGTAATCTAGATAGCAAAAACATGAGTTTAAATTGCAAAATTACTACTTTATCATCTCATATACTTTCAGGAATGGATGTGAATTGTGGAGAATATGTGCGGAACTACGCCTACTCCGCCATTAAACAAGGTAAATTATCAGAAAAGGACATCAACAGAGGGCTTCACAACCTTTTCTCCATAAGAATGCGACTCGGGCTCTTCAATGGAAGCCCCACCCTCCTTCTCTTCGGCAACATTGCTTCAAAACAGGTCTGCTCTGGCGCTCATCAGAACCTGGCTCTTGAAGCAGCCCGAGATGGTATTGTTCTTCTGAAAAACTTGAAAAAAATCCTTCCTTTGTCCAAATCGAAGGTTTCTTCACTTGCTGTGATTGGTCCAAATGCAAACCGTGCTTCAGTTCTGCTAGGAAACTATAACGGACCACCATGCAAATCAAACACTCCTCTTCAGGTACTGCAGAACTACGTGAAGAACACAAGATTTTCGGCTGGCTGTGATACTGTTATCTGTAACACAAGCCATATTGATGAGGCAGTAAAGCTGGCCGGCTCAGTGGACTATGTGATATTGTTCATGGGATTGGATCTGACTTTGGAGAAGGAAGATTTAGATAGGGACAATTTGGTGCTTCCTGGGATGCAGAAAGAACTTATTACTAGTGTGGCAAGAGTTGTGAAGAGGCCGGCGATATTGGTTTTGCTTTGTGGTGGTCCTGTTGATGTTTCGTTTGTTAAAAATGATGAAAATATTGGAGGTGTTCTGTGGGGAGGATATCCTGGAGAAGCTGGTGGTTTGGCTATTGCAGAAGTTATCTTTGGCGAGCACAATCCAGGTGAAGTATATTGCTCTTTATGTTAATTTGTTTTGGGCTTTCAATGCAGCACAGCACTTTGTTAAAAGATGAATGAGAAATTCATTTCTGTTATAGGTATATGTCACTTTTTAAAACAAAAAATTCCATTCTTTTTACTCTTCATTATGAATTACCAATCACGTAACTAAAAAACAAAGCCTTAGTGCATTTGTGTTTGGTTTGGTGTGCAATTTTGAAGTTATGAACCCCGCAAACTAAAATTTTTGTAAGTAATGCAACGCTATCCAATACACTTTTTAAAAAAATTGTTGATTTGCTGGCATGCCTAGCTGACAGATTGAGTTGGGATGTAATATTTTTGAAGTACATAAATTTACTTTGCTTTGCATTTTCAAAAAAGGCTGTAAAGATCACTTTTTTCCATTCAAAACCAGCATATCCAACGGCTTGATCATGCTTTCATGATTTAAAACTACAGGAGGAAGACTTCCGCTCACATGGTACCCACAAGATTTCACCAAAGTTCCCATGACTGACATGAGAATGAGAGCAGACCCAGGTTCAGGGTACCCAGGAA